CTCTCTCTCTCTCTCTCTCTCTCTCTCTCTCTCTCTCTCTCAAAACATTAAAGAAACAATGGTGTAGAGTAATTCATGCTTTAATAGATTTGGAAAATAGAAAAGGAATGGAGAAAGTGGTAAGTTACATTACTCAAGTGGGTTGGATTAACAAGTTAGTGATGGTGTGTTCATCAGGAGTGAAAAGAAGTTGGAGTTGAACAGGAATCTTGAAAAGAACTGTTGAGATTTGGAGTCATCACCAAATAAGTTGATTGAAACAGAGACAATGACCAAGAAAGGGTTGATAATGAGTGATGCTAGTGGGTGGACCCATAAATTTGCACAAGCAACAAAACATGCAACTGTGTGATTATTTTCTTTTTAGCTGCATAACTTTGGGATCCCTGAACACAGACTAGAGGACTAATTCAGGGTAGAATGCTATCTAGTACATGTGGGAAGATTCAGATAATCAAAGATTTGACAGTTTGGTAAGAGATAATTCAGATAATCCACTGTGAAGTGTTAAGTTGCTTAGTGATATATGAGGGTTAATAAACAAGGAGTAAATGGAGGATATGAAGGCCTCCATTTGTTCATTCGACATTGGAGTTGAAGTGGAGCATATTGAGATAGTAGTGTAGGAGCTTCTGGCCACAACTTGATGTTGGAATTGTAGAACTGCAAATATTCTATACCAGGTATTTTAGTTTTGGTGGTCAATAATGGGAGTAGAAGAAAGGAAGTGGTCTCCCCTGAAAGACAGAAATAAAAATATTGTGAGGTTATTGTGTTTGTTGTGAAGTTTAGAAATGATTTTACTCTGAATGATGATAGAAGTTATAGAAGGGATAAGATTAGGATTTTCAGTGAATGTGCAAAATTGTGAAATTAAGTCACTGGGTGATAACAATGAGAAGATAAAGCCAATATGTGTGAAACTCAAAAGGAAAAGCATTTAATACAAGGAGAAGGAATAAGGAATTGAGAAAAGAAGTGGACAGCAAGAATTGTAAACACTTTTCCAACTTTCTTGGGCATAGAAGACAGACACAGTCTTTATTCTTGGAACTTTTATAGTCTAGTGAGCAAGACACTAACAAATCAGTTCCAAATGGTGTATTGCTTAGAGAAGATAGATCAAAATTCCATTGGGTATGGGGCTGGGGATGTGGCTCAAGCGATAGTGCGCTCGCCTGGCATGTGTGCAGCCCGGGTTCGATCCTCAGCACCACATACAAAGATGTTGTGTCCGCCAATAACTAAAAAATAAATATTAAAAATTCT